AATATAGTAACGTTTCAATAGATGTGCCTTTTCCTTTTCTCTCCATTTTATGTACTTTCAACTTCCTTTTTCCATTCCCTTTTTCACAGGAACTAGGTTGCTTTATGTTACAGGTCAGGTTGCATTTGACAGCTGTTGTCAAAGAAGCCTCTCTTAGGTTCTCCCTTAACCTGTCTGAATGGTGTTTGGTCACTGATCTTAAAAGATATCCAGTAAAGACAAATATTGTCAGTTATTGTTGGAATAAAGAAGTAAAACTGCCTTCTTTCAAAGGGATGTGGATGTAATTGAAGCAGTGTCCATAAAAGAGGCAACTACTGTAGACTTGCCAAGACGGCCACTTTCTGTATTGACAGCGTACCAAAACCTGGACATTGCCTGTTCTCTGAGAAGGAAACACTTGGGATTAAAGGATGCAGGTATTTCAGCAAAAAAGTATAAGGCAACGCAAGAGGGAAGGGAAGAGAAAGGAATGGAAGGGGACAGAAAAGGAGGAGGAAGGCTGTGACTGAGAACAACGGAGCACCCTGAAAATGTCTACATCTTGTCCAAGATACGGGCATTTAAACCAGTGTACCTGTGCCACCCGTACCTGAATCTGAACGAGGCCTCCGGGGCTGCCGTTGGGGCTGGGGCTGTGGCACTACTTTTGACCTTTACCTTTAGTGCAGTGGCTCAGACGAGGGTTTCTGGCTTAGTGGGTCAAACTAAATGCAGCACAGAAGAGACACGGGAAGGGTAATAGGAGGCTTTCGCCTGCACAAATTCGTCTTCTGTGGCTCGTTCAGCTCAATGTGTAGAGAGTCAATATATTCCAGGAAAATGTTTCAATAGTACTGGAGAGAAGGAGGGCCATTTTACAAGCAAGTGTTTGGAGGTGATTATTTTAGACAAGAATGAAACGGTCAAAGCCTGCACTGAGACTGGTATCGCTGAGCTCAGTCAGGTTAACGTAGGAATTACCGTGGTTCTTCTCAGTGTGGAGCCTGTGGAGAGTTTGAGCTTTTAAGGAGTGTTTTTAGAGTACTGTCTAAGGAGTTAGAAATGTTTTTTAAAATGATATTTCAGGAAAACAAGGCTCAAAGATACTGTATTGGCTCCAGCGGGAACAGGATATAAATAAGTCTCACCTGCTTGTAAAGAGGCAGACTTCCTCCTAGGTCTTTGTTTTGATTGGTGAACACACATAAATCGGTTCAGGGAAATTCTACATTAGAAACTAAACAGTGTAATGAAATTCACTGATAACTTGTAAATATTTCCTGTTTGTAAATAATCCTGCGGGCAAAATTGGACTATTGTATACAACTAACAAAAACTTGGCTGCAGATTCACCTGCAACTGGGAGAAACACTCAAGACCTTTATCCTTGAGCAAGATTTGTTTCCTAACACTTAGTTGGTGTGCAGGAAAGTACAGCAAGCTCTCATTATCACTCGTAGTTTTCTTGCTGCAAAATTAACCTGCAGAGACAGGAGCAGAAGTTTCACTTCCCCCAGCTTACTCCCGCAGTCCTTGCAGCAAACAAACTGTTATAGGCATTCCCTTGAGCTTATATTACAGCTGTTCATTTCTTTGCACCTCCCCCTAAAAAGAAGTAGAGGAGGAAGAAAGAGCCATGCTTTGACAGAATCCCTTCTTTAAGCAAAAAAAAAAAGGTACTTGCTGTTTATCAGTAAGAGCTGAAAAAAAGACAGGATGTTGTTACAGCTGTAATGTTAAAGTCAGAAAGTTGCAGCAAGCAAAAATGACATTTACTGCACGGGTAAAATGCTATACTGGGCATTTAAAACATGTAATTACACTAACAGCTTTTGCATGAGACTCACTGACATCTGAGAATGTCCTGTCTGGTAGCAAATGAAAACTTGCAAATCGCCATTAGGTTGGTAATTGCTATTGTTCCTGTTGCCAGGAGATATAGTGAGTGAACTGCTCCTCACCACAAGGTATGTGTGGCAGAAGAAGACTCAAACTTTACAGTCAGAATAAAGAACTACAAAATTACACTTGTAAGAAAATGCCATAGATCCATCTGACTTCCACTGAGAAGCTGTTTTCTCCGACATATGCGCAGTCAATTAATGACAACAAATACTTTGGATCCTGGTGAAAATACAGAGTGGAACATTTACTCTCTGGGACAATCCTGCTCACAAACACACACAGTTTAAATAGGAAGTTTTCTTCTGTGAGACCAGTACCAACAGATATCCTAACCATACCCATTATGTCTCAATTTATGTAGGGTCCGGTTTGGTACCACCACTCCACATGGGTAGCAAAACGCAAAGGTCTTGAGGTCCTTAACTCCATTGATTTTTGCTTCCTCCTCACGTAGTCCCACGTTTCAGCGGGATGCCCTCCAGGAATAAAATATTGTCACACATCTTGGCAGAACGACAGCCAGAGTGAATAAGGAGAGAGAACTGTGAGATCCAAACATCTTTACACATGCTTACGCATCTGTTTTTATCACAGATTTATTATAAAGCCAGTCGAGGTAACGGTTATCATCAGGTCCAACTGCTCAGCCATTATTTCAAGCGTTTGCACCTGTTTCAGTGTCTGTCATGTAATTTATTAAGAAGACATTTAGTTTTCTTTCCTCTAACGTGCCTGCCCTGGGAGCTTCCTGCCAAAGCCAGGAGCACTTCACCGTAGGCGCAAGCAGTGACCTGTTGCCAGGTTGGCTGCAGCTGCCTCGCACAGCCTGACGGAAGGGTCTGGGAAAGGGCACAGCTTTGTGCGAGCGCAGCAGAGCACGGCCAGGACTGGGCTCCCCACGTTAGACAGCCCCGGGAGGGAAGGGGGCCAACTGCCCACAAAAATCCTGTCCCCTCCTTTGTGGAAACCCCATCGGAGTCCGATCTAAGCTGATGCTCCAGGGTTTTGTTGCAGTTCAAGCTGTGAGACTACAGCTCTGAAAGAAGTGTTCTCTCTGACTCTTCAGTCCCTTTAGAAATACTTAAACATTATAATTAATAGCTTTTTATATAAAGCTTCAGGCATTGCTTTGTTGACTTCTGCAGATATGAAGGGTAAATTATCGGTATCATGTACTTTTAAATCTGTACTTACACAGGCTAAAAACTTTCTCTCTTCCTCTGTAATGAAATCGTATTTCTGCATCAACATCTCCCTGGCATAAATGTACCACTTCCTTAATGCCTTGCCAAACTACTGCTTTTTCCTTTTTTCCTTCTGTGCATCTAAGTGGAAGCTGCTGTATGCAATGATTACCAACTGTGTTTGGAGTATATCAGCAGCTCTTCTATCCATCAGGTATCTGTCTAGGCCCTGATGCTGCAGAGCTCTGTGCTTAACTTCACACAGCAAAAAGCCGTGGCTTCCTTTCTCACTTTAAAATGTGTAACAAAAATGAAATTATCACTTAAGTAACGCATTGCTTCTTTGAGTGTATTGTACCAAGCTATTAAACAACAAGCTATTTAAACAACCTGCTAACTTACTAGATTCTAATTTCCTTACACTCACATGAAGTAAAACTTTGACAAGAAGATACATCCAGAAAGAAGTGTTTGTAATTCAATCTTTCTGACACACATTACATGAATGATAATTTAAATGAGCCATACTTCCAAGAAGACTTTCAGAACTGAGTGATCTCCAAAGTGAGTGAAATCAGTACTGCACGTGCAGCAATGGACTCATCACTCCTGAGGGAATGAGTGCAGCCGGCAGGAAACTATGCTTAATATGAATAAACCAGTCCCACCTAAGTTTGTATTCAGCAATTCCTTGCACACCTGAAGGGAGGGAAATAGGAAGATGTGATGGCTGAGATGCTGGGTTTAAGACCAGTCAAGTGTACTCTGCAACAGCTACATTTCTGAATAAGATTGGCAGAACGCAGCAGCACTGAGAGCTCCTCCTGTCTGATCAAATAGTTATAACAAATCTTTATCTCATAACACTATTTCCATACTTGTAAAGTTCCATTAAAGGTGAAGATGATTCTTTCTCTGTATTAACAAAACCAAATTTGTCCCAGATTCTCAGGCTAATTTGGCTAACAGGGCACCACAATTTCCTTCCCTTCTCTAAAAATCATTTTAAAATCATTAGCTCTTCTCACATTCACTGATTATAATAGAGTAGGATGTAGCAAGTGTGAAATTTTGTACTAAATTAAGGAAGAGAATCATGTCTAATATTTTAAAATTTTCTACAGAAACCTAGAAAGCAGCAGGCAATTCCAGTCTTCTAATTTATCACATTTAAACTTTCTTGCATTGCTTCAAACTAAGAAGTACACACAGACCGTCGTCTCTGCTGTGTTTGAACTTGCACTTGCCCACCTGAGTCCTTGAACAATGTCTAACCAAGTGTGTGAAGAGAAAGCTGGGTAGTCCAGGGCTGAGTGCAAGTAACATACAGTCAGTACAAGTAACATGCATTCAGAAGATTTTATATAAGTATACAGAGCTAAATAGTTCGGCATACAGTTATATTTACTCTCTGTACGTATTTCAGAAATCACTTCTGTATGTATAAGCAACAGTTTTATAAAGATAGCCACCTCTGAAGTAATAAATTTAATGTATCCCTTGTGTTTCTTTTTCCTGTTACTGTATATCTATCTCTTTGTTCCTATTCTTTCCACTAGTCCTCTCCTTTCCCTGTCATGCTCCCCCAGTTCTCCTTTAGTGTGACATGCCCTTCAGATTTTTTGGAGTTTGTTTTTGTTACTACCTTCTGCTGTAGCAGGCCTGGAGAATTGCACCTGCCTCTCCTCACCCTGTGCATCCGGGGGTTATGGCTATCATCATCCCAAATAATTCTTCCCTCCTCCTCCACACCTATACCCTAGTGACCTGACACCTCTGCCCCTACCTGTCTTTCAAACCTTTATTGGCTTGTTTGGGAGGTCACAAACCATGACTTCTGTTCCTGCCCGAGATATTTCTTTTTCCTAATTCATATTTCCTGGTTACTGGCGTGTTAGGCTCGTGCATGAAGAAGGAAAGAGTACTTACAGTTTTACTCCAGGTGAGACCTGTGGTGTGGTGCTCTTTGATGTAAGCCTGAAGCTCAGACCAGATGTTCAGATATGACTTCACCCAATCAACATGACGTGTGTCGCTGTAAAAACAGAGACACCATTTCTGTGTGTCAGTGTACTTAAACCCAGACAGTACTGCTACTCTTGCTTAAAGCAGGTAAACCCCAATGTCTGCTTTAAAGCCACGGACAAACTGGTTAGCAGGCAGACAGACCACTGCTGGAAATACTGGAAATGCCTCCTGCAGTGGAAACTGTTTGATCTTTCCCAGGGACAAAGAAGGGCAAAGAATGCCTCCAGCAGAGTGCCCACCGCTGGAAGGGGGTGTCGTCGTTGGGTTCAGGCTCAAGGGCAGCTGAAGCAGCACTAAAGGTCCATGGAGCTGTGCAGCAGTGCCCAAACTCAGTTCCAGGGCGCTCAATTTTAGAAAATTGAACATCCATGGATTCTGTAAGATAGTCTAGCTTCCAAGTTCAAGTGTAGCCAGGGCAATACTACATCGTGTTACAGTCATCAGACTAAAAGATTTACACATCACGCGGTTTTAAAGGACAAGTCCCAATCTGGCTCTGGAATCTCCGTTTGGAAGGCTTCACCTGCCAGTGGGACAGGAAGGGAAAACAAGGAAAATGCAGCGGGAGGGAAACTGCTTGCAAGGTGGAGTCCTTCGTTATGAAGAGTTATTACTGAACCGTGATGGCTGTGCGCTGGGGATGCTCACAGGGATTTGGCTGTCTGCCTCCTCTTTATTGCCTCTGCAGTCTGACTTTTGTTACTGCTGAGGAGCTGGGTCAGCGGGTTTATTGCAGAGCCTGCTCAAGCTGAGGGAGAGCCTTCCTCTACTTTGGAAGACATTGGGATCTGATTCAGTGAAAAAAAGGAAAACAATTCCTTATTAGGGGAAGAACTAAATACCTAAATAATGTGCCTTGTTCATAATGTTATGGGAGACATTTTCTTCTCCAGGATAAGCACTAAAGCTATACTGTAGAATTCTTCAGTTCCTCCAGCGGGTACTACCTTCACTAGGTAAAGTAAGACTTCAGGAATGATACATAATATATATTATGTATATATATTTGAATAATACAAACTATAGTTTTTATAGATAGTATATGCATATGATATATTTATATAT